CCTACATCCACAGGAGATCTGTGGTTAGTTCTCCAAGATGTTTGGAACAATCTACCTGCCGAGTTCCTTCAAAAAGTGTGTGCAAGTGTACCTACTGTAGAACTGATGCTGTTTTGAAGGCAAAGGGTGGACACACCAAATATTGATTTGGTTTGGATTTCTCTTCTGTTTGTTCACTTTGCATTTTGTAAATTGATGAACATAATTACAATATATATTTTTGAAAGCATTCTTACTTTACAGCATTTTTTCACACCTGCCTAAAATTTTTACACAGTACTGTATATACGCACATACATCATAATGTATTATATATATGATTATTTATATTATATATAATATATAGCTATCAGAAGCTATAAAACATTATCCTAGACAATGTGGATTAAATTACCAGTTCCACCAGCAACTTCATAACTTCTTCTGTAACAAGATTCTTTGAATAGTCCACCAAGATGTCCCCATGCTCCGCCTTCAAGGTCACGCTGCCAGAGAGAGAGAGCAACCGCATTACGTAAATGAACATCCTACCACTTGCCTTAGCAGAGAAAGGAAGGCACGTAAATGAAAGAAAATTCCAATAATCCTCTAATCCAAATAGGAGCATGAGAAGAGAGAGCAAACAAATGATAGTAAAGAAATAAATTTTAGCCTTAAATCTTTTGTAAGAAAGACAGCTTTGCAGGCAATAAAGCAGCAACAACTTTGTCTGTTCATGTGCATCTGTCCATAGGGAAAGACAAACATCAACATTAGCAGTTAACAGTCCTTCTTCTGAAATCAAGAAACATGCTTTATGTGCCCTCTAAGGAGAAACATGGGCGAAGCTATCATTCTAGATTTCCAAAGGCCAACGGTAATTGAAACTTTTACTGTATCTGCAAGGCTTTCACACAATGGCAGAACAGGTAAAATACTGGGGCAAGAAATGGAGAAAAAATTGAGAGGAATCACTCCCAAGAGTGATTTCCCCAGACTTTCAGGTTCATGACCAACAGGTCAGCTCAGGGGAATATCACCAACAAAGGCTACCTGCATATGCTTTAATGCCTTGGGATAGGGAGAAGAGATGTGATTTTCTATTGCAGGCAAGACAGAGTTGAACCTGAGACCACAGAAATGGCTAGAAATACAAAAGATTCACAGAACTGCTTTCCCGCCATAACAGCTGGAAAAACTAGCTTTAGAAAGTGCAGTTCCTTATGTTAAAAAATTGCCTGTTTTTGTAGTAAATATAAAAAAGTGGGGAAAGTAAAGAAAAATTGGTATGAGGAAAAATGCATTCTTTACTGTATCAAAAGCCTCAAAGCATTTTCAAGGAGCCCTCTTTCATTGGGAAATCATATGAATCAGAGAGCTTGTAAAAAATAGGCTCTCGTTTCCTCCTTATTTCGTCTTGTGGCTCCTATTTCCATAAATGTATCAGACCAGCCAGAGGAGAACTGTCTGATCACTGGAGAAAACAAGGGGCATTTTAGAAAATGCTTTATTTGTACCTCAAAAAGACATTTGTACCTCCACTCAAGCAGGCAAAACATTTTACTAAAATGTTCAGGTAAACCATAAAAAAATACTTCAAACAAGACATGAGAATTTGCAGCAGATTTTCTGGGAGGGGGGTAGATTTGTGTGTGTGTGTGTGTGTGTGCGCGCGCCTTCAGATTAGTGTTGATTCCTGGCGAC